ATGTGGGGCGTTCGGCCAGATTTTCAGGACAACCACCAGTGTCGATCTACCGCCTCCTCGTGGCTTTCGTACCCCAACTCGATTCCTTCGTGAGTCCGCGACACGCGTTCTTCCCACCTGAGACTGAGACTGACGCTTCTCCAGCCGGAAGAACGCACAATCAAGATCAACGAAGCGAGGTCAACGATGCGTCTTATGGGGCTACAGCTTACCCGGGAGGTGCGCGAGGCGGTCCTTGCGGAAGCCTCTGGGCAGGGGAGGGAAAGCGTGGGGAGGCATAACGTCGAGGGCCGCGACCTGCTCGCACTGCTCATAAAAGCCAACATAGCGGAGCGACCTTCCCGACGAGTAACGGCTTTCGGAAGAGGAGGTCCTGTCCCGTACGTACGCTCCGTGCCTGCGTCAAAGATCACTGATGGACGCTTTCAAACTACGGCAGAAATCCCACCAGAACCTCACGTCACCATGTTCTCCTCGCTCACACCCACTAGCTTCCTCGTTGCCGGGCATGAGACTACTTCGAGCTCTGTCTCTTCGCGCCGAACCGCGCTCACTGCCCTCCGCGCCGAGCTCCTCGCAGTACCCACGAACAGCCCAACGATGGACGAGCTCGCGGCTTCCAGTAGCTCGATCACGTCGTGCGCGAGACGATGCGCCTGCACACACCCATGACGTTCACACTCCACGTCCCGACCGAGAACGATGCGATCTTTGTCGGTATGCCTTACATGGATTACCGTGGCGTCGCGCGACACAAGATCCAGTACGTTTCCTACTCAAATCGACTTTCCGTGCTCCCCTAAGCTCATTCGAATCAAGGGCAGCCGCATCGTCATTCCTGTGCTCGAGCTGGACTGATCCAAGGCCATCTGGGGTGACTTTCCGGTCCGTCCCCATTCCCCGGCCGTATCGAACCCAGATTCACATGAAGAACGTGAATGCAGAGGCCAGCTGGTGCAAGATTCCGGAGATGTACGCGCATGGGGGTTGGGTTGAGGCATTGTGCAAACAGGTGAGCTACGTATTATCCGCGTTGGAGGGGATGCATCGCTAAGTACGTGCAGCAGTATACCAAGGCAATCCGGGCATATGTTACGCTACCAAACATCCTCTCATCGATATGGATGGTGTTTATTCAGGGCATGTGGATCGTCAGCTACACCTTCGGTGGGTACTGAATTTCGTGTCTCCTCCACGCTGGGTACTGATACGGATCTATCAGCCCTCTTCCATGATTGTCGTTGCGTAGCTTCCGTCCTTCATGTCATCAGTGAGTATCGTCTACGCCTGCGTCAACCGTCAAGTGCTATCATTGCTATCGTGGCTCTCCCTGTCTTCATCGTTGCCGATGGCATCATTATCATCGTCAATGTCGTCTAGCAATACTGCCGCACTTTTTAGGCTTAGCATGATCTATTCGATGTTGCTTTGAACTTCACTGTCCCTATGCCCTTCAGCAGCAACAATGTGCAACATCAACATCCATTGTCCAAATCAGGACCGCGTGCGATGTTCCCGACCCCCGTTATCGAAGTCTGAGCTCAAGATCGGCATCATGCACTGTACCTTCTTTTCAGAGTCCTTGCCACCTGACTTGTGTCCTTTGTGTTCATGGTCGTTTCGTTTGGTGTTATGATCTCTGTTTCCCCTCTTTCGATGCACGCTACTCTCATGCTGATTGTACCTTGTTCTAGATATATAATGACCTACGCTTCCTTCGGAGGGCCTTAGATCTATCTTGGACTGCCCATCGTGCCTCTTGGTGAGTTTTTGATGCGATTCTCGTGCTTTCAACCAAGATGCACTAATTGCTAGACGGACTATGCGTGTTATTCATGTGCCCTCGCAAGTGCAGGGCTTAGTCAACTTTCTCCGTGTTGCCCCGCACTACGTGGTACCATGCTACGACGAGGTGTCTTTGTACTGGGAGCGGGACATCGATGCAACCACCGAGGAGCTACAACAAGTGCGCCAGTTACTCCGTATTCTCGCCAGCTTGCGCACCGTGCGGAAGCTTTCCCTTCAACTCCCGCACAATACTTCTCCCGACGTGCTTTCCGGCTTTATCTTCTCGGACCTCAAGCACGTTGTCTACTCCGGCCCAACATCGGCATTTCAGCCCTTCCTTCACGCGCACGGTTCCCTCGACATTATATCCATCATCGGTCCCTCTTCCTACCCGCCTGCTATCATTGGCGCCTTCAGGCCTCTTCCCACTCCATCACGCATAGCCCCACTAGCTAGCGTCCACACTCTGGCATGTCCTGTCGGGTGCCTCAAGGGCCTGCAATTTCCTCTATCCCGACTCCAGGCCTTGTTTTTGGAGCTCAAGTATGGCGACATCGAAGTCTCCGAAGTCTGCGTGTCGGACACGTTGCAGCATCTTTCCCCGGCGGCTTTCCCTTGCGTACGCTTTCTGTATGTTAAGGGAGGACCAGGTGATCGCCGCCTTGTGCGCGAAATTCCAAGACTCTTTCCCAAGATCGATACCCTGTGGCTAGTGCTACCTGACCGAGCCCCTGTAAGCTTTATATGTACTCAGTGTTCGAGTGTGACTTACCGAATCCTTTTCAACAGCGCCCTCGAGGTCCAGTGCAACCTCGTCGCGCCATACCTTCCTGTTATCCGTGGAGCAACTGGCCCCAGTGGCAGGCAGCTCTGGGACAGTTAGGACACCTGCAGCACTTGCTCGTCTACACAGGCTCTCCCCTCTTCGAGGAACCCGTTGCGGACGAGCAAGCTGAGAGGAACATCGTATGGCGGTGGAGTGGACACTCTATCGGGGCCTCTCATCCGTCTCTTTTCTCCATAAACTTGGTGTACTCACTAAGGCGGGGACTCCCACCATTCGTTTGGTCGGAGTGGAACTTGGATGACGCGACTTCGACCTGGAACAGACTCCCAATCGCTGCGGTGGGGACGGAGAAGGTTCAGAGTATGATGGATTGTTTACATTACGGTTTCGTACTGTAGGGCTTTCAAAGATGTTCCCCGATCCGAATACACATTCTATAGCATGTAGAAGACACTTGTGTGACTTGCGTGTGTCTACCTCTTTCGACGGTGATCATCAGGACTATCCGCGTTCCTGCGCCTGCGTTCAAGTTGGCAGCAAAGACTAGACAGCCTGCGAGGCTACCAATGATTATTCAATCCAACAATGAACAAAGACGTCCTCGTCAGCGCCACGCGCTGAGGATCGCTAGAGCGCCCCACTCGAGTCAGAACTGTTGCCATCCAATCCACCACCCCCACCATGGCCGTTTCTGAAGACCCTCGCGTTTTATCCTCACGGTTTCTACTTCGCGAAGACTCATCGGTCTCTCAAACATTCAGCGGTACGCTCACCTCTAACTCCTGTATCATCGCAATTAGAAAGTTTGGTCATGTCGCACAGGACAAGACTACAAGGTTCATTTCCAGGCAGATTCGCCAATAGATACACTTCCTTCACGCCCTGAAGCTGCCGCTCTCGCCACGAAGTCCACAACTCCTCAACGTCGTCTATATTCGCCTCCCTATGTTTTGGCTGTCGCTCTCATTCTACTCGCCATCGGACTTCAAGCCTCACAATCATGCACAAATGCTCCAGCGCATTCCGATTGGGTTAGCAGTATACTTTGCCCATCCAGTGTCGTCACCGCACCGCCGATCTCTCGTGCGGTTGAAGTGTCTGATTTGAAAGAGATGGTGCAAGAACTCGTCGCAGATGCTCTTCGGGATCTCCACCTTGCGTGTACCACACCCCCGTCCATCTGTACGGTTCAATTTCGCTCTCTACAGTGTTCCTTTCCCTCATCCTCCGTATTCACAGGTGGTTCTGCCACGCTAGTCGCAGTCACGGAATACATTCCAAACTACAGCCCGTCCTTGTCTATTCCGTCGGGCGAGACCGTTACCACAGCGGCTATAGCCTTGGAACCTTTGCAAGACCTCGAGTTCTCTCGGCCCCATCCGTCATCGGAGCATCTCCCTGCACCTATAACGGTTTCAGAGCCCGATCAACCCCTCGACTCTTCTCCACCCTCATCGACGAAGACTTCTCACGTTGCCAGTGTGGACGGATCAGCCAGTGCCGCTGAATTTGCGCAAGAGTCAAACGGAGGGCGACTTGTGAAACGGCTGACGTCGTTCAGGGGTGCGTTTATCTCGTATTGGGTTTCGTCACCTCTCGAAGACCCGAGCATTGCGCTCAGCGACGACGGCCGCTGTTGGAAGACTCCCTATCTGCCTGCGCAGCTCGGCGTACGCTCTTCAAGCCACATCTATCCCTCCTACTTCATCATTGACTCGTCGGGCTTCCCCTCCATGGGAAGTGTGAAAACGGTACGGCTCTGGGGCATCGTTGAAGGATCCCTTAATACGAAGACCTTCTGGTCTGCATCTGCTACTCCCGATGGACCCCTTCGACCATTAATTGACGGTGGATTCACTTGGGCTCATCTGGGCACTTTTGTTTACAATATTCACGATAGCACTAGAGCGCAGACATTCTATATTCCGGAGCAATACGCTGAGCAGAACATCTCGTTTGGAGTATTTGCACTTGAGATCTTAGATAACTGGGGAGCTAGAGCCAGTACTACGTGTATACAGCGTGTGCGTATATACGGATCTTCGTCTCAGTAAATTCTACTTGTATTTATTCTACTCATGACTTCGTTGGAACTTGGGACTGATTGGGATTATAACGCGCTCAGCAATAGCGCCCAGGGCTTGCGCTTCGCCACTGGAGTCCGGTTCGCTCTTTCAATTCCTCTCTTTGCACCACCGTCTTCAATGCCTCCATTCCCCGCCTCCACAACCTCCGCATTGAGCTTTTCACGCAGCGTGCACACAATGGCCTCCCTCGGTCTCTTTGTCGACTCCCCTCTCGTCGTATGTCTAATGGGTGAGAGTGGAGCATTTTCTCTGCACATCCACCACCCCACTCATCACGTACCTCATCGAGAAGACTGTGCACACCCTCCATTTTTGGAATATCACTATGTATGAAGTTGATGATAAAGGCGCTGCTATTGCTGGTCAAGAGCAGGTGAGTAACCAAATTCTGATGCTTGTAGAGGGCCGTGCTGAGGCCGGTCTCTTTTGTCGGAGACTGTTGTTCGTCGTGCCCCAAGCCCGTCCCAGAGCGTGTTAACGAAACGCAAGCTCAAGGGCACTGTAGCACACAGTTTCGTGAATGGCAAATCGACGAGAACCGATTCCGTCAGTCGTCACTTTCACTGCTGGGTTGATCTGGCCTCTGACACTCCGCATAGGTCGGGAATCCTCCCCCGCTCATGCTCGAAGAGCCGGAAAACAAACGAGTAGGCTTGAACTATGGATAATCTCACTGTTGTGCTGACGATGCTTCTTAGGTAGAGATTCGCCGCCCCCATGACGTTCCGATGGGCGAAACATCTCGCTCATCGGCCTCGGAAGAGTCGGACACAAGTCACATCAATGGTTCCACTTATGCAGCTGCTGCAGCTTCACAAGCGCTGTCTGCTTCCTCCACCACTGTTACGGACACTCAGGCGGCTGTTGCAACTCAGCGTGCGGTACGCTTGAAACCGAACAAGAAGAAACCCCCCATGCCGTCGTGGGCACAACCGATCTCGACGGGCATTACAAATCATGTCGGCGGAGGTGATGGAGTAGGAGTGTCATCGTCGGCAGCAGGGTCACAGGTGCGTTTTGTAACACACACTCTATAACTACTGCTCACTCAAATGAGCCGCATAAGGCACCCGTACCACTTGGGAAGCACCCATCGTTCACGGTCAACCCACAACCGGCTCAGCCTCACACGAACAACAAACTTCGTCGTGAACCAAGCTTCAAAGTACGCCGTCAGTCTCCCATCATTCCAGAGCAACCTGCCGAGAGCGTCATGGACGTGGTGGACGAAGAACAAGAAGTGGAACAAGACCTCGTTGGGGAAATCGAGCAAGACCTTGTCGAGTTGGAATCAGAGCAAGACTTTGCCGGCCTGCCAAGCACGAACACCCCTCGCGATCAACCGTACCCGGAGTCGCAGCAGAACGCTCACGGTGTTCCATCAGGTCAAGAGCTTCGGCCCCACCTTACGAAGGAGTTTCAGAAGGAAAGAGAATCGTTGATACTCCTGCTGAAAAGCAAGCATTCGGCGGAGAAGCAGAGGGCGATGGAGGCCATTTGTCGCAGGCAAGAGGTCACACGACAGAACGTGCTTCGCAATGGGAGCTCCGATGAGCTGCTTGCCGAGCTCATGACAACCGAACAGGCGACCATGGAGCACTCAATACGACAGCTAGACCTCAAGCATGCATCCGTCGAAGAGCACGCTGTGCGTGCGTTTGACAAGCAGTGGGCATCTCGTGTCTCAAGTGGCATCTCTGATGTGGACATGGGCGAGCCTAGCAGGGAATCCATGATAACGTCAGGTATGAGTTCATCCCCCGAATGCTACTAGTTGCGTCTAAGATCTTCCTTCAGTCATTCAACAAGAAGATGTTCCAATGTCATACGATGGACTGTACTCTCCGCCTGTGCAACTCCTGCTATCGCCGCAGTTCCCAGAGCCTGCGCCCCCCTCGCAGCTCGCGCCACCCTCGCCGCCAGGGCCGTGTTCGCAGCTCCCGTCAATCGCGTCGTCCCCGCAGCTTTCCCCGCCCCCGCAGCTTTCCCCGCCCCCGCAGCTTGCCTCGCCCTCACCAATCCCACCACTCGCCCCGCCCTCGCCGATCCCACCACTCGCGCCGCCCTCGCAGCAAGTTGCGCCGTCCTTGCCGCCCCCGCCACCTGGGCCGCGTTCGCAGCTCCCGTCAATCGCGCCGTCCCCGCAGCTTGCCCCGCCCCCGCAGCTTGCCTCGCCCTCGCCGATCCCACCACTCGCGCCGCCCTCGCAGCAAGTTGCGCCGTCCTCGCCGCCCCCGCCACCTGGGCCGCGTTCGCAGCTCCCGTCAATCGCGCCGTCCCCGCAGCTTGCCCCGCCCCTGCAGCTTGCCCCGCCCTCGCCAATCCCACCACTCGCCCCGCCCCCGCAGCTTGCCCCGCCCCCGCAGCTTGCCTCGCCCTCACCAATCCCACCACTCGCCCCGCCCTCGCCGATCCCACCACTCGCCCCGCCCTCGCAGCAAGTTGCGCCGTCCTTGCCGCCCCCGCCACCTGGGCCGCGTTCGCAGCTCCCTCAGTCCTGGCCTCGCCCGTTGCGCGCTCCCTCTCTGTTACACTCTCAGTCTCCGTTGTGCTCTTCACCTCCTTTGTGCGTGCAGCCCACGTCGCGCTCGCAGACCCTATTTGGGTCTTCATCTCTTTCGCCGTCCCCATCTCTTCCAAACTTTCGCCGCTCTCACTACGAAGCCCCTGGACCCGAGCATCACATTGTCACCGATGGCTCACTGGAAACCTCCTCGTCTGACTCGTCGGACACCGATGGCCCCGTGGCGAGCAAGAACAGTGGCAGAAGTGTGGACGCAGGCGGGGAAGATGATGAGGAGATCAGCATGGACGAAGACGATGAGGAGATCAGCATGGATCAAGATGATGAACTTGAGGGGGAGGAGGAAGAGGAGGATGAAGATCGCACACCTACTCCCAAAAACGCCGCTTCTGCCCGTGCTTCGACATATCGGGTGCCTACCCCGGAAATCACTTATCGTTCACCAGAGGTATGTTTATCTACAAACCACTAGATTTATGCTGACGCTTTTGTGATCTTCGTTGCAGGGGGCCAATTTCCCTAGTACTTCTGGGCTTCATGGTAACTTCGGAGTGCCGCCCCATCTTCTACAGGTGCTCTTGAAACAGGGTGAACAGAATGCTGCTATGCTAAGTGAGCTCATGAAGCGGGATGCAGCTTCGGAGTAAGTATTGACGGTTCAAATGTTAGATGTTGTATGGGCGGCTCAAGCTGATAGTTTTACTAGAACCGCACTCACCACATGCCTGGAACGTTTTACTACCGCCTTGGAGAGCTTTGACAAACGACTGTCTACTCTGGAATCCAGGCAAAGCTCCCTTCCGTCTGTCACTGAGCAAGATGCGCAAGGGTACGATGGCGAAGATGAAGGTCAGGTCAAGAAAGGTGCCAAACCGGTATCCAGGCGGAAGAAGAAGCAGCTGATCGTTGTTAAGAAGCCCAACCAGCCAAAGACTTCTGCTATGAACTACCTACGTGTGAGCTCTAGCTGTGCATTCGATCGGCTCTATACTCACGTACACCTGTCTGAAGGAATGTATTCGAAAGCACCTTGATGACCTCTGCCAAGTCACTTCCATCGAGGAACTCGTGCAAAAACAGCCCCCCATCGATGACGACGAGATGGACGCGTATCTTGACGGCGAGGGAGACATCATCTGTACCCCCCAATCATTCCGTGTGGATTGGATACGCTCGTGGAAGAAAAACCACTTCAATCTACTTGCTGAGCAGGTGTTCGTTCAACACTTTCTCGACGCGTTCCAAGATGGTCACTACAAGGCTACTCCGGTTCCTTCCGACCTCCTCACCATCAAGCACATCACGCGTCTTCTCCAGAGTCACATGAAGTACAAACGTGGCGAGTACAAGAAGGCACTGGCGCCACCCACTCCGGAGCAGATCGTTCTCGCTCGAAAGCGCAAGGCCGCGAACTCGCGCAAAGCCACTGTGAGTACACACTGCGCTACGCGTCCATAAATAGTATACTCAAACTTTTTTCCAGACCATGCACAGTCGCTCAGACGTGACGGAATGGCTGAGGATTCGTCGGCATATCGAGCTATTTACCATGCTGCTGCCTGTTCACATGAGCGGTGACGAGACCGACGGCGTGAAGAGGATTCCATCGACGTGGCGCATTGTCATTGCGCGATGGCAGAGCGAAGCGTTGCGCCAGTTCTTCTGGGCGTTGGATGCCATCTATCGCAAGCACTGGGCCAAGCCAATCGGAGACTGTGCCACACCCGGGAACCCTCCCAGGTTGCGCGTATTGACGCCGAAGAGCCGTAAAGAGGATGGTGTCGCTCCTTGTGGGCTGTGGCGAAACTGCTACGACCCCGAGTGGCTAGCTGGCCTTTTCCCTCATGTTCGGGATTCGCTCAACATCATCGACGAGGACTACAACTTTTCTCTGAACGCTTAACGGACGGTTTTAGCCCAGGCGGTATTATTTCATTTCATGTCGAGCTAAAGTGTTTTCAGACCGCCTGTACCTGTGTAACATAGAACGTGTACTACAACATGCTTACCCTTCGCCTATCACCTCGTCTACGTCACCGTCAGGTGAACTAGCACGCGTCGCCAGTCGAAGACAATCCCGCGTGGTGTTCATCTCGCGCGTCGAGTTTGTCAAGGTTGACCTAGGGGTGATGGATTGTGGCTAGTCCGACGTCCACCATAGACGTACTCGCGCACATCGCTCGCTCAGTCCTCTGAGAATTACAGCAAGAGACGTCGGGCGTGTGGGGATCGTTCTCCCTCCGACGCGCACGAGACCGAGGTAGACTCGGCTTGTCGGGGCCCGTGCGCGTCGGAGACGTACCCATATGGTGCATGGTAGCTCATCCACTGTCAGAGCAACACACGCGCGAACTCGCCTGCGCTGCTTGCCTCGCGTAGTGATTGCATGGTGTAGCCGTAGCCACTGGGACGTTGTAGTTTCCGGGCGCTGCTGTAGCTTCCGGGCGCTGCTGTAGCTTCCGGGCGCTGCTGTAGCTTCCGGGCGCTGCCGTAGCTTCCGTATGAGAGCGACGCTGCGTAGCTTCCGGGCGAGGCTACTGTAGCTGCCGGGAGGTCTATATCAATGTAGCTTTGTGGTTGAATACGCATAGCTAGTGCTCGTCAGCCGTCCACAAAGCGCAGCCCGCTCAACCAGCCCGCGCACATCACATGTAGCTACGTGCGATGAGCGCGAGGCAGCGCGAGCTTGGCTGTCTGAGACTATCGGGTGGTCGATGAGCTTCGCGCGCCCAACTCGTTAGTATATTACACGCGGTTGCGACCGTGCGGGGGATAGAACGACCAACGCGTGCAAGCTCATCTACGCCGGATGGTCGCCGAGCACGCTGCGGCCTGCACGCTTACAGGTCCCTCAGCGCTCGCGAATTCGCCTGGGATGCAACGGGTCGCGCGCGAAGGGCTCTTTGAGAGAGAGGGTCTTCTCGCGCGACTCGTCTTTCTCTCACAATGTGATGGTGACTGGGAAGGACAGAGCGACCGACACGCTCGAGCTGCGACTGCCGAAGCGCGCGCGTCCGTCTCTGGTGATCCATCAACCAGCAGCGCAAAATCGTGGGCGACAGTCCCGCTGTCATCCATATTTCCGCAAAGAGGATATCAATTATATTGTCCGCATTTCGTCCGGGACGAAGGTTTTTATTTCCTCTACATTTCATCCAGGACGAAAGTCGGACGAAATTTTCACTGTCATCCGCCTTTTGTCTGGGACGAAATGTGGAAGAATGTTTTCCTGTCATCCTCATATAATCCGCATATCGTCCGGTCGGTACAGTTTAACTATCCCATTGTCTGAAATGTGGATGAAATGCGACAAACAGTTAAACAATCGTCCGATCAGAAATGTAGACGCCTAGCCGGACAAAAGCGGTCATTTCGTCCGAATATCATCCGCCTTGCCGCCCGGCCGGAGATTGTGCATTGCCCATCGTGTGGCATCGCTTTACGACGCGCCGGCGACCAGGCCGTCCTTGTGCCTTCCACCCTCTGCCCGCCACCTTGCCATCGACCCTGCCTGTGCATCCTGCTTCTCACAGCGACGACAGACTCTGCTGAACGCCGCGCTCAGATCCTTGAAGAGCGGCCCCGCCTGGAACTAGAAGGTACATCCAGGTACAGGTGCGCACGACCGCCGCGGCTCCTGCGCAAGACGCTGACCCCGCTCGCTGCAGCAGACGACGGCGATACCCCATACACCAGCGTTCACAGCCCGATCGCCCCGACGATGTCGTCCGACATGGCCTCCCCAGACCGCTCGAGCCACATCCTGCTGCCCCCGCCACTCCGCTCGGCGATGAAGAGTAGGCCAAACACCCCCAACAATCAGGGGTCATCCTCCTCCCCGTCCCCGCTCTTCTCGCCCCCCATCTCCGCCCTCCCACTCTCTCCCGCGGTCGCGACGACCTCCCGGGAAAGCGCCAGCTCCGTCTCGTACACCACCCCCTCCTCCCCCTATAGCTCCACCCACCCGTCCACGTCCGCGGTCATGGTCGCGTCCCCGAACATGTCCAGCGTCCCGCTTGTTGCTGCGCAGGGCTACACGCACAAGGTCTCCTTCGATACCCTTGAGAACCCGCAGGCGAGCATGTTTTCCTACACACTCCACGTCCAGAGCGAGGGCTACGCCCGCACACGCAGCACGCGCATCTTCCTCTGCGCCTCGAGCCCGGACGAGAGCGGAACCCAGGCGCTGGAGTGGTGCCTCGACGGCCTCGTCCAGGACGGCGACGAGCTCGTCGTCTTCCGCGGCATCGACTCGGACGACTTCGGTGCGTCCATTTCAGCTTCACTTGGTTTTCTCGTCTTTGTGGCGTCTTCATTGTCCTCTTCCCTGTTCCTGACGCGCATCATTGGCTGCAGCGGACAAGGACCACGACCTTTACCGCGACGACGCGCGCGAGCTCATGCGCTCCATCCAGGAGAAGTGCGTCGAGTACGACCCGGACCGGAAGCTCTCCATCATCGTCGAGTACATC